GGATACAAAATCAATGTGCAAAAATCACAAGCATTCTTATACACCAGTAACAGACAAACAGAGAACCAAATCGTGAATGAACTCCCATTCACAATAGCTTCAAAGAGAATAAAATACCTAGGATCCAACTTACAAGGATGTAAACGACTTCTTCAAGAAGAACTACAAACCACTGCTCAGTGAAATAAAAGAGGACACAAACAAATGGAAGAACATACCATGCTCATGGATAGGAAGAATCAATATCGTGAAAATGGCCATACTGCCCAAGGTAATTTATAGATTCAATGCCATCCCCATTAAGCTACCAATGAGTTTCTTCAAAGAATTGGAAAAAAACTGCTTTAAAGTTCATATGGAACCAAAAAAGACCCCGTATTGCCAAGACAATCCTAAGTCAAAAGCACAAAGCTGGAGGCATCATGCTACCTGACTTCAAACTATACTACAAGGCTACAGTAACCAAAACAGCATGGTACTGGTACCAAAGCAGAGATATAGACCAATGGAACAGAACAGAGCCCTCAGAAATAATACCACACATCTACAGCCATCTGATCTTTGACAAACCTGAGAAAAACAAGAAATGGCGAAAGGATTCCCTATTTAATAAATGGTACTGGGAAAATTGGCTAGCCATAAGTAGAAAGCTGAAACTGGATCCTTTCCTTATATGAAAATTAATTCAAGATGGATTAGAGACTTAAATGTTAGACCTAATACCATAAAAACGCTAGAAGAAAATCTAGTTAATACCATTCAGGACATAAGCATGGGCAAGGACTTCATGTCTAAAACACCAAAAGCAATGGCAACAAAAGCCAAAATTGACAAATGGGATCTGATTAAACTAAAGAGCTTCTACACAGTCAAAGAAACTACCATCAGAGTGAACAGGCAACCTACAGAATGGGAGAAAATTTTTGCAATCTACTCATCTGACAAAGGGCTAATATCCAGAACCTATGAAGAACTCAAGCAAATTTACAAGAAAAAAACAACCCCATCAAAAAGTGGGCGAAGGATATGAACAGACACTTCTCAAAAGAAGACATTTATGCAGCCAACTGACATATGAAAAAATGCTCATCATCACTCGCCATCAGAGAAATGCAAATCAAAACCACAATGAGATACCATCTCACACCAGTTAGAATGACAATCATTAAAAAATCAGGAAACAACAGGTACTGGAGAGGATGTGGAGAAATAGGAACACTTTTACACTGTTGGTGGGACTGTAAACTAACTCAACCATTGTGGAAAACAGTGTGGCGATTCCTCAAGGATCTAGAACTAGAAATACTATTCGACCCAGCCATCCCATTACTGGGGATATACCCAAAGGATTATAAGTCATGCTGCTATAAAGACACATGCACATGTATGTTTATTGCGGCACTATTCACAATAGCAAAGACTTGGAATCAACCCAAATGTCCATCAGTGACAGACTGGATTAAGAAAATGTGGCACATGGCCGGGCGCGGTGGCTCAAGCCTGTAATCCCAGCACTTTGGGAGGCTGAGACGGGCGGATCACGAGGTCAGGAGATCGAGACCATCCTGGCTAACATGGTGAAACCCCGTCTCTACTAAAAAATACAAAAAACTAGCCAGGCGAGGTGGCGAGTGTCTGTAGTCCCAGCTACTCGGGAGGCTGAGGCAGGAGAATGGCGTAAACCTGGGAGGCGGAGCTTGCAATGAGCTGAGATCCGGCCACTGCACTCCAGTCTGAGCCAGAGTGAGACTCCGTCTCAAAAAAAAAAAAAAAAAAAAAAAGAAAATGTGGCACATATACACCATGGAATACTATGCAGCCATAAAAAAGGATGAGTTCATGTCCTTTGTAGGGACATGGATGCAGCTGGAAACCATCATTCTCAGCAAACTATTGCAAGAACAGAAAACCAAATACCGCATGTTCTCACTCATAGGTGGGAATTGAATAATGAGATCACTTGGACACAGGAAGGGTAGCATCACACACCAGGTCCTATTGTGGGGAGGCGGGAGGGGGGAGGGATAGCATTAGGAGATATACCTAATGTAAATGACGAATTAATGGGTGCAGCACACCAACATGGCACATGTATACATATGTAACAAACCTGCACATTGTGCACATGTACCCTAGAACTTAAAGTATAATAATAAAAAAAAAAAGGATGAGTTCATGTCCTTTGTAGGGACATGGATGCAGCTGGCAACCATCATTCTCAGCAAACTATCGCAAGAACAGAAAACCAAACACCACATGTTCTCACTCATAGGTGGGAACTGAACAATGAGAACACTTGGACACAGGAAGGGGAACATCACACACCAGGTCCTATTGTGGGGAGGGGGGAGAGGGGAGGGATAGCATTAGGAGATATACCTAATGTAAATGATGAGTTAATGTGTGCAGCACACCAACATGGCACATGTGTACACATGTAAGAAAACTGCACGTTGTGCACATGTACCCTAGAACTTAAAGTATAATAAATATATATATATATATATTCTTAGGTTTAGAGAGAAAAAGGCTTATTAACTATTAATTAAATCATATAAGTAAATGTATTCAAATCCTCTATTCATAATTATTATTTAATTGATCTGAGAAAAAATTGACTAGTATATGAAAATCACTAAATTTTTTTGTTATTTTCTTACAGTTCTAATAGTTTTTGCTTTATATATTTTCAATCTGTATTAGACCATCATATTCTTATTGGGAAAGATGTCTTTTCTCTGTTAATATTATTCTTGTTGAGGAAGAGATATATAACGCCAATGATTCATTATAATTATATCAATTCTGAATCTTAATAAATATTTTCATAAAAGTAAAATTTACTAAATGAATGTATATTCATTCTCAATAAATCATAACTATGATTTTAATCTTTTTCAAAAAAAATCACAAGATTATGCAAATGAATCTTCATATTCATTACCTCAATGAAATATAATACTAGTTTCAATGTCTTTTTTTCCAAAAGCCTAATTTTCAAGTGAAAGCTTTAGATCTTTGAAAGTAATAAAATTAAAGATAAAGATGGAAAGATAAATAATTCATTTCAGCAGTTTTCTGAGAAATACCACATTTTCCAAAATATATATATTTTATAAGAAATGGTTTCTCTTTAGGCTATTAGAATATCAATCTTCTACAATAGGCCAATTTTCAAAGCACTAGGCCTATGTTCACTTAATCAGTCTCATGAAGCAAAACCTGAATTAAGATATTCCATTTAATTTAGTCCACATATTTATCAAGCAAGAAACTATCAAACAAATACTCTTTCTTGCCGAAGTTGTTGGGATTTCCATGGTGCTTAATGTGTATTTTTTTAAATTGTGAGATCAAACAACACACATCTTGAGCCATTGTATATGTTACCTGGGTAAAAAAAACTAAATTAATCTTTTCAAATATCTAATGGAATCCCAGGCATAGTGATTTATTAAAATATTAAATTAAATATTTAAGAGAAAATTAATCACTAATAATGAAATGAGTTGATTTTCTAAGAAAAGCAAGTATGTAATTAAGGAATCATTAGCAGACTCAAAACCATTACAACATTTAAAAGCAATCAACATTACAATTCTTAGGGTGTGTTTTAAATTCCTCATAACCTAAACATATACATTCATTAATTATTCACTTGCCATGATCAACAATGAAAGATGAGTTAGAAAAACCAGAGGCTTTAATTCAAAAATGACAATCTTTGGTACTGCAGCAAGGAAATAACTAGCTGGTGAAATTAATGACTCCATCTGGCTTTATCTCGGCAATGTTCTGATATACATGCAATGAACAACTTCACATTGTTTGATGTTGTTAATTCTTTACAGCCATCTCTATGGCTGGTCATAATACATAAGGTCAATCAGAAATGATCATATTATGAAACGTAAATCACTTCACATGCCTTATCTGGAAAATGTGCTTGTACTTACTTGCACCATCTCAAGTTCCAAGAGCCAAAAATATATACATGCTCATGAAGGAGAATTTCCTTTCTGATTTTAGAACAGTCTGAAAATGGGGTGAAAAAGTGAAAAAGAAGGGGGAGCTTACAAATAACAAAAATGTATATCCCAAATGAAAATTAGAATTTCTATGGAACTAGTAGCAGTAACAATAGTAGACAAAAGATAGAATGTAGATGTTAAGAAGATGTCTACAAGGGAAGCACAAGACTCCAAAGGCTCTTGCTACTAAAACATAGACTCAAGGTTTACCATCTGTAATATTCTGCTGCCAAGTACATCTATGCCACTAGTACTGTCTAAAATGAGGATATATATTAAGAAATCACCAAAAAGGACTGCATAGCAGAAACTTTTCTGATATCAAGGGATCAACCTAACTACAATTATATACAGGTGCCAATTTCCTCTGGAGTAAACTAGCACACTGGGCCTCATGTACCAGTTAGATAATCCAAACCAGCCCTTATTGCATAACTTATCTAAAATATTGGACTCTACATTTTGGCTCTGCAGAACTGAGAGAAGAAATGTATAAATAGGATAGTGGTATTGCCTTTGTCTATGGGAATTCTTGAGTCTAATAAAAAAAAGTCTGGGAAAAATCTAACTCCATGATTACACTTGGGCACACAGGTGATTAATTATGAATGAAGTAACAACCATAAATACAATCATAACCACAAGAACAACAGTGATTCAAATTTTCTCACTTCACAGATGTTCTTAGAATGCTTTATTGGTATCTTGCAGGTGCTGTCCCCAAGCCTCAGGTGTCGTTCCATAATCTCAGTTGATGCAAAGGCAAACACCACACTCTCCTCTGTTCAATGTCTGCCATCCCTGTCTTTTTGGCCTCTGACTCTTCCCTATACTACTATCTGTGCACTTGAGATCTTCACTGACATAGCTGGGCTCTGTATTTATGGATAAGAATATCTCCTTTCTCTTAGACTAGGCATGATCAAAAGGTTAATCTGGGTTCAAAGATCAATGACAATGACCACTCAGTTTTCATTCAAGATCAATTTTATTTATTGTACAAACAAACATGGGTTACATTCCAGACAAACAGATATAAGTGAGTAGACTTATGCCCTGGTGCCTCCTTGGCTCTTCACAGGATGCAAAACAAATCCTGCCAGCAGGAAGTGGCAGTTTGCAGAGGTGGCAGAGGTGGCTGGTTGTCCTTTAAGCTGGCTTGGGCTTGTCTGGCATGCACAGGCCCTGGCACAGCAAAACATTCAGGGAGTAAGAGTGTTGCACAAAAGATTTTACCAAGTTTGTCACATTAAGCAGCATTCAAGGATTTGCTGACCACCACTTAAGCAAATGTTGTGTTATGCTATAGCAGTGAACTTACTTGTTCTATTTCTAAACAAAACATTGGGTTCACACACAGGCCTGGACAAAGCTTCCCACTTCTGGACTATTTACTGATCTTCTTATTCTCAAAGAAAGCAAGATGAATGATGCGCCATACCATGGCTATGGCGTGTGACTCTTCTAGACCTGGATAGTTAGTGTCCCAATATTTAACTGATTTTGAGGGGGAGTGAAAATATGCCATCAGTTCTTCCTTCTATCATCCCCATCACTACCATACACATAATGACATAATCATGTCACAGTATGTCCTCAGAATCACTATTTCTAGCTGAGTGTATACTAAGGCTTTATATCTAGGTCACTTCATTGTACCTGTGTCTCCTCTACACCCTCCTTCACCATGCCTACCTTGAGGAATTCAGCAAGTGATCATTCACACAAGCTAAAGGATTTTAGCTTTCTCTGCCATAAAGATTATTACTAAAATACATACCATACAACAAACCAACCCATTTCCCACAAATCTTATTGTCTGACTTCTTGCAGAATACATAATGACTTTTATTGTGTCTCTTCCTTCCGTGTTTCTCTTTCCTAACTGAACTTTGTTCTTTATCCAGGCCTTCTTCCAATCCTGACACATTTTAAAACCTTTAGCATTTCTGCCTATAATATTTGGGTGTTCTTCTTTTCCTATCTTTACTTAATAAGTCCCACACAAATATTTTCCCCATAATCACAATGTTTTCTTTTCCCTTTGCTCAAGGACTGAGTTATGAGCTCCAAATGAGGTCTGAAAAAATTTGGATAAACTCTACATTGGCTAAGTTTTAGTCATTTGCACTGCTAATAAAGATGACAATTCAACATGCTGAAGACAACTTCCTCCCTCATAAAGGGGCTAACACAGAGGGCAATACTGTTCATGCTTCTGATTCTTGATCACAAGAATTGCTTTAGGCAATTACAGTAATGTCTCCTCTGACACATATTATTATTCAAGTGAAGCAGAGAAAGAATATGTCCTATGTCACACAGCCAGGTGGTGACAGCTGACGTAGCATCAGCACACTGTGTTCCCTCTAATTTCTTCATTCATCTCTAGGTGGCAGTAAATCTGGTCCTGAATACTGACTTTGACACTCTGCTTTATCCTTCCTGTCACTTCCTTTGAGACTACTTCAGATTCTTCCCTTAGCTTCTATTTCTCCATTTGTAAAATTGGGTTGATGAGGATATCTTCCTTCAGTAACTTTGACAATAAAAATGGGATCATCACGCATCCTCCTTAGCCCCATGAGTAAGCTCCCAGTAAGTGAGGTTGCCATCATTATTGTATATTTAAGGTGATCTACCTATTTGAAAAACCCTAGTCACAGAGCCTCAGTTGCTTTTCTTTTTGGGTGAATAATCACTTGCTGAATTCATCAAGCAAGCTCTTTAACATTTACCTTCCTTTATTATGCTGGAGCATTTCTAATGTAGGAGGCTTTTGTGTCTTCTCACTATGACTGCTTTGTTTGTTCAAAACTTATACAGGCTGAGTATCCTTTATCTGAAATGCTTGGGTCAGAAGTGTTTTGGGTTTCAACTGTTTTCAGATTTTGGAATATTTGCTTATATGTAATGAGATATTTTGGGAATGGGACCCATGTCTAAACACAAAATTCATTTACGTTTCATACACACTTAGCCATATACATATAACCTGAAGGTAATCTTTAAACAATATTTTAAATACTTTTATGCATGAAACTAAGTTTTGAATGTGTTTTGACTGTGACCCATCACATGAGGTAAGATGTGTGGAATTTTCCACTTGTGGCGTCATGTCAGCACTCAGAACATTTTGGATTTTGGAGAATTTCAGATTTTGGATTTTCAGAGTAGGTGTGTTCAATTTGTATATATGGGTCAGATTCAGTCGTCTCCTTTAATCCTTGGCTGAAGGAAGCACTAAAGACTTTGGGGCCTCAATCTCGCATATGCAGTGACACTCTCAAAGCCATTGACTCAGCTTCTCACCTGAGTTTCCTTCCAGTGAGCCACAGATAGAAGTCATAGATGATGGCAGGGGCCTGGTGGCTGATGGCATTCCAGTACTGGGTTGTGAGGTTGCTGGTGGTGAAATCAGCATATGGCCTCCTAAAAGCTCTCTCAAATGGAATTGGAATTTCAAAGGTTGGCAAGACCTGGAATCCTGGGGAAAAAAAGAGAGAGAGTGCTAGAGGAGAATAGGAGAATATAAACCATCATAGTGGAAGGTATTTGTAATGGGTCACAGCAATAAAGACAAAGGATTTGCTGTGTAGAGTCAAGAATCAATTTCTGAGAACAATAGAAAGATTTTTATGCTAAGCAAGTGGTTATCTGCAAAATGAAACAATGTGAATGGGTTAAGAATTGGATCCTTTATTTGAAACATCTACTCAAACAAATTCCTGGGGAAACGCATGTAGTCAATATAAGGGGGTACTGTTCAGAAAAAACATAAATCTGCATTTAATTCTAAGGTTATCTAGTCTATTCTGAAAGCCCCAAGGCAGAGGCTAGAAACTTTATTTCCCTGGCTGGACCATTACTTTCAGAACCATTTAGAAAGTTTCTTAATATTTTATTTCAATCTTTATTAAAAGTTTAACTAGAAAATTCTAAAGGCAATATTTTCTTGTGTTAGTTTACTTTCAATATTTCTCTGGGAATATGTCAGACTCAGTTGTCCACTCTGCTATCCAGGGTTTTATTCATAATAGTGTTTTTCTTTTTATAGAGTAAGCTTAATTAAGAACTTTTTACATACATTTGTGAATTCAGTAGTTCTTTTGAAAAGATACTCATTTGAATTCAATTTTATTTAAGGTATGTAGGTTTTTGCAAAGCATATGCCTAAGCTCATTATTCAATTATGATGTCAGTTATTACAGTAATATGATTATTGCCCTACTTTAAAAATGCCAGCTAAAAATCTATCTGAAAAATATAGCTCCTCTTCAGAGAAGATTCTCAAGAATCATCTGGTCCATAGGGATTTATACTTTAAAAAGATGGTGGTAAATTAAAAAGTTATGTACAGGTTGATAGCATGAGAGATTCTGATCTCCACACTGACATTCTGATCTATATATCCATATACTTGTTCAACATTTCCAACTGGAGGTGTAATAGACATTCACATTTAACAGCTCTAAAGTGGGCCTCCTGATACACCCACTACTAATGACCCCCTTCCCAATGCGTACACAAACCTGCTGTTTCACCAGTCTTCTACCTCTGACCAAATGGTAATTCAATTTGTTTAGTAGTTCAGCCAAAAACTTTGGGGTTATCCTTGATTCTTCTCTTTAACAACCCACACACAATTGAACAAAATCTATCAGCTCTCTGTTTGAAAAATACCCAGAATCATAATTTCCACCTGCTATCTCTCCAATCAAAACCACTACTGTAGCCTGGAATGTTGCAATACTGTCCGAAGTGGTCTCTGCCACTACCCCTGTATCCCCAGTCGGACCTCCATGTAGCCGCCAGAGTGATTCTTCTAAAATGTAACTCAGAGTATATTACAGGAACTTCTCCATTCAGAGCCCTTCAATGGAATCTCTTCTCATTTAGAGGCAAAGCCATGGTCTGCAAGGCCTTGCACTCTCTGCGCCCTCTCTCTCTGCCCACCACTCTCCCTCTCAGTGCTTCTGCTGCGGCCATACTGGCCTCCTTGCTGACTTGAATATGATTAAAGAACTTTAGCACTTACTGTTTCTTCAACTTGGAATATTTCATCCACATGTCCTTCTGATTTGCCCTCTCATTTATTTCAGGTCTCTACTAAGAAGACACCTTATCGGAGAGACTTTCTTTGGCCATCACATATCAAATAGCAGCCTTCCCACAACACTATTTACTTCTTTAATCTCCTTTATTTTTCTGCACTCAACCATATCTGATGTATATTTCTCCTAAGATTTAAATACCAGAACGAAATTTTGTGTGCATTGTTTGAACTTATACAGTACCTTAAAGAGTGGCTGACTCAGTGACTAATAAACATTTTTTGACTAAATGAATGAAAAATATCTCAGCAACATACAATTACTTTCCTTTTCCTAAATCTATGTCAATCCTTCCTTTAGTCATTTGAAATATATTTATTTAGCATTTAACACTTGCCAGGCACTGTGGTAGATGCTGAGGTAAAAAAAATTACATATGACATATTCCTTGTCTTTAAAGAATTGGCAATCTGGTGGGAGATGTGGACAATTCATGATTACAATACTTTGCCTGAGTATTCTGCTAGAGGCCAGTACAATAAGCTCTGGAGGAATACAAAAGAAGCATCTAGCTCTGTCTGGGTGCCAGGAAGGGGAGGGGTGGGGCTGGCTTAGGAAGGCTTTCTGAGAAAGCTGTCCACATGGTGATCGCAGGTGTCTACTAAAATGTTCACTGTTCTAACCACTGTACGAAGCACTTTATCTCCCTACATTCTCTGAGGAGCTCCCTAGAATAGAATAATTATTATTCTCATTCACAGATTAAAAAATTGATATACAGGGAGAAACTGAGAGACTTTTTCAAACTGATACAACTAATAAGCAGTGCAGTCTACTGAATGGTGGGACGCATCCCAGCATATAACAGCTATGTGAGCACAGATTTCCGTTTAGTGATACATCCTCAGCACCAAGAATAATGCCTATTTAATGAATACAGGAGTGAGTGAATGAGCTAGCATTTGAATCCAAGTCTATCAGATCCCAAAGCCCAAGACTTTTAACCATGAAGCTACCGTCTTTCTGATGTGAGGGACAAGTAGAAACTCATGCACATGTAGAAAATGTAATTTGGCAATTGAAAACTGCACTCTACATCCTCATAGGTCAAAGAAGAAATTCAAATGAAAACTGTTTAAGGATTAGAGAGTAATGATAACATAAACATTATACAACAAAATGTGTGGGATACAGCCAAAGTGGCATTTGAGGGAAATACAAGCCATGAATGCATGTATTAGACAAGCCGAATATTTGTGGGCTATATTTCTAAGTTAAAGAGAAGAAAAACATAATCAAAGAAAACAGGAGGAAGGGGAAAAAAGAGATAAGGCAATACATCTATGCAACAGAAAACACAGCAGCATAATAAAGAGTCAATAGGCTGGGCTCAGTGGCTCATGCCTGTAATCCCAGCACTTTTGGAGACCGAGGTGGGTGGATCACCTGAGGTCGGGAGTTCGAGACCAGCCTGACCAACATGGAGAAACCCTATCTCTACTAAAAACACAAAATTAGCCAGGCGTGGCGGCGCATGTCTGTAATCCCAGCTACTCTACTCAGGATGTTGAGGCAGGCGAACTGCTTGAACCCAGGAGGCAAAGTTGTGGTGAGCCAAGATCATGCCATTGTACTCCAGCCTGGGCAATAAGAGCGAGACTCCATCAAAAAAGAAAGGAAAGAGAAGAAAAGAGAAGAGAAGAGAAGAGAAAAGAAGTCAATAAAGCCAGAAGAAGTTGGTCCTTTGAAAAAAAAAAATAAAGTAGACCCTTTAGAGACTAGCTAAGAAAAGATAAGACACACAAATATTATGAATTAAAACAGAAGCATAATTACAGATACAGTTTAGGACAAAAATATTAATATAATATGAAAACAATGTAAATACATTTTAAAACAGATAAAATCTTAGGAAAAGAGACAAATATAACTAAAACTGATCCCAGCAGAAAATGAAGCCTGCAAAATTCTTTAACTATTAAAGACAGTGAAGCAATAAAAAATGTTCTCACAAAAAATTATAAATCCAGATAATTTAAAGGTGCTTTTCCCAAGTTTTGGAGGAACAGATTACTCCACTATTACACTTTCACTCCACTAAGCACTTTCAGAGAATAGAAAAAACAAGGGAACTATATGATTAGCAAATTGAATTAAACAAAATATAAAAAAAGATAACACGGCATGACCAAGTTGGGTTTGTCCTAAAAATGGCAGGGGAGTTTAATATTTGAAGTCTTCTGCTTAAAATTAGCAGCAAGACAACAATATGCACTATTGCCATTTGTATTCACCATTATAGTAGAAGTTCAACAAGAAGGCTGGGCATGGTGGCTCACGCCTGTAATCCCAGCACTTTGAGAGGCCAAGGCAGGCGGATCATGAGATCAGGAGATCGAGACCATCCTGGCTAACACGGTGAAACCCTGTCTCTACTAAAAATACAAAAAATTAGCCAGGTGTGGTGGCGGACATCTGTAGTCCCAGCTACTCAGGAGGCTGAGGCAGGAGAATGGCGTGAATGAACCCAGGAGGCAGAGCTTGCATTGAGCCGAGATGGCACCATCAACAAGAAAAATAAAGACCTAAGGCTTGAAAAAATGGGGATAATACTGGTATTTTTGCAGATTAAGTAACTGTCTACATAGGAAATCAAGAGGAAATTTTATACAATTTCTAGCAATAAGTTTAGCAAGATAGCTGAATATAAGGTCAATATACAAAAATCAATTGCATTTGACATCATCCACAAACAATTAAAAAATATATTTTTACAAAAGACATTTAAATTAGTAAAAAAAAAAAAAAAAAAGCATCAATTACCTAGGCCCTAGGTATAAATCTGATAAAAGATGCTTAAGACCTATATGCAGGAGATTAAAAACTCTGCTTAAGGGACACTAAAGGAGGCAATTCTATGGAGAGATAGCCCATGTTCACCCACCCAGCTATCACTCCTTGTAATATCACCTGAGACTATATATGCTCAACCTCCTGTTAACATGGCTACTGCTCCTAGTAGGAAGCATTTTTATCCCTCCTAAGAGTCCCCAATAGGAAACACAAATGAGTTTAATTTGAATGCAACATCAAATTAATTAGTAATAGCTTCCAGAAATGCTGTGTTAGAAGGGAATCCAGAACAGAGCCTTGGCACAGGGATAACCAATGTCATATCAGCCTACAATGTTTGCTATAGGTGTGAGAAAGGTAGAGGAAACATGCATGCCAGGTATTTTTCATTCCTGGAAAAGCATTTTTCAATTCAAAGCCACAATATATAAATGAGCCACAGTGTCCAGCTGTCCTGCAATAGAACTCTCAGTGTGTTACCATGGCTTCCCATTGGAATATGAAGAGCTAGTGTCATCTATGTAACAGGGACAGAAGGGGTGTGTTAGCAGGTACTAAGAAATCCTACAGAATAGCAAAATTCCCTATTTTTATCTTCTACCATCATTAGATGTTTAAGTTGTACTCAAATCGATTTCCATGGTTTTTGTACATTGAACAGATTAAATCCCTTACCTTCAGACAAATTAATCATTTGTATAGTACAGGGTTTCTCAAAGAGCATTTCCCCAAGTATCAAGAATCATCTAGATGCTTATTAAAAACATAGTTTCCTCAGCATCACCCAAGACCTTGGTCCCAGGGTCTAAGGAATCTGGATGTTGTTTTATTCTCCCATAGTGATTCCTATTCACTTTTACAAATCACTAGTAGAGTAGTTAATGCACACCCAAGAGAGGCAAGTTGCATAAATTAATGATCAGTATTACAGACGCAATCAGGAAGGAATAAGATCACTCAACTTTTCTAAATCTCATTGGTCACTGATCACGTCACATTCTCAGTGATGTATCAAGAAGGGAAGGGGTGTGTATAGGACTCACTGCCCCAGCAGGGAGGAGTATTCCAGCATTTTATCACTGAGATTCTTTATAACTGCCAACTTTTGCTTTATTTCATCACTGTTTTTTAAAATCTTTATAGCCAATGGACCCCCTACTGCTTACAATCATGTATGTGTTCCCAATGACTCCTTTCCTTGGTAACCACAGTACCTTCTAGTTAATTACCACAGATTTACAATTTCTCATTATTTTGTCTCTTTATTTACTTTCTGTCTTTCTCCCCATGTAGGCTCTAAGCTCCATGACACACTTTGTCTATTTTTTCTCTGTGTCAGACACTAGTAATTATGCAGATACATGGCTAAAGTACTTGCCCATTTTGCCCCAATTGCAGGGGTTGAGGTTACCAGATGTACAGTGGTAGACTAACATTGACTTAGGTCTGGAAAATGAAATAAAAATTAAATAAATACAACAGAATGGAAAACTAATGAAAGAAAAATAAGGGAGACAGAGTTGTTTCCATAATTCATCTGATTAAGGCAACCTATGCAAGAAGGCTTCCGTATTTTTTTCTTTCTTTGGGTTAATAAGCAAACTGGAAGAAGACTAGCAAAAGGCTGTGTGTGGGGGGTGCGTGTGTGTGTGAAAGACATGTGTTAAAAAGGAGTGACATATTATGAAGCACATATGTGTGAGTTCACATAAGAAAAATTTAATTCTGTTTACCACTTACTAACGCAGCCAAATGTATGAACAACCTGTTTTTTTTTTTTCCTTTGTACCAGGAAACTTCCCCACACATAGTGATTGAACACTTTTGGCATTAACCAGAGTTCAATTAAAAAAAAATTCTCTCATTTCATCCAGTTCTATCTCCTTTGCCCTAAAAAAGAAAGCTGAATGTTAAACTATCAATAGAAAGAAAAGCCTTTTGGTTATCAAGAATTTTATGGTTAAGTGATTTAAATGTTTTATTACTTTGTGAGTAGCCAAGTACTAAACTGTATTTTGAAAACAACTCAACATATATATGATGGCATATTAGGAACTCTATAAAATATTGAAATGAACACCCTCTCACATTTGGGGTCTTATACAATGAAATGCCTATATTTGGAAAATGTGCCTAATACATGAACCCTCCCTCTCATGAAATCTTTGAAAGCCCACTTGAGCATCCACACCTGTGAACTGCAGCACACCATCCTACAGCTAGCGGGAGATTGATGGCTGTATCAACCGGAATTGGAATTTAGTCTGCCACAGCCATTGGAGTAGTTTTTATGGCCAGAAGAAACCCTTTCGCAGCCTGCACAGGAAAAAGAACATAAAATGTGAAACCAGGTCTTAAGTAACAGCTGGAGCTAAAGTATGTATCATCAAACTGATTATACTAGTGCAATAAGTGAAGACAGGTAACATCGATCCATCGCTTACCAGGTTCCTACACTAAGTCTGACTTCGTCAGCCTATCCTAGCTTCTCAGCCAAGGTCACCTTCAGCATTTTCTTGAACTACTAGTGTTCCTCACGTTCCTTTAGGGAATAAAATTCCTCATATTTGTGAGAGGTTAATAAACTTAATTACCAAACACCAAGAATACACCTTCACATTTTAAAAAGTAATTAATAAGACACATTAAGAATTAAGGTTACACAAATTTCCCATTAATGTTTACCATTTCCTTGATAATTTTGTTTTCTGCTAGGGTTTATTAACCCACAAGCAATAGTTGGCACTAAAAGTTTAAGAAATTTTATTTGAAAAAAAATTAATTGGTGAAATTCCACAATTAATAAGACAAAAACTTTTTTGGCTTAGAAAAATGGCCTTATTATTTACTTTTTATTCAGAATCTCAGTTCACCTCACAGATCACTGATGTTATATAGATACAGGAGTTGGGAATTATTTATGTTAATAATTTGTTGAATTTATGAAGTTGATTCTTTCTGCTTTGCATGTTTCCCACTTTGATTTGAAATGATTAGCACTTTCTTACCTTACTCAATTCTCTTTTCTTATAACTAGCTCCCCTTCTTTTGGACATAAGAAACCAATTTAGAACATTTTTAAAAATGTAAATAAATATGCATCTTTGCATATAATGAAAACCGCTTTGGGGTCATGTTAAAATAATGATGTTCTAAGTCACCAAACATTCACCCCAACTGAACTTTTTTAGGAGGAAGAGTTGAAGGCAGGTGGGAAACAGAAAGAAACGGGCTGCTGGAAAAATCTGAAATTCGAAGGAAGGTCTTTGTCACTATCATAATTCATTGTTTTATATTTGTATTTTAATTCATGTTGAATCTAGCTCTGGGAGGAATAGAGACAGAGTCTGAAGCGCAGTTCGAATCCCTAATAAGATTTAAACTCATTTAGATCACTGATTTCCTACTCACTGTACAAAAAAGTAAAGTGGCGTTTAGGCCCTAAATGCCCCAGTGTGAGCTGTGAACCCCACATCTCTACCGGATCCATCTGGACTTCAGGGAGATGCGCACTGAGGGCTGTTTACCTAGAGGAGCCACGTTTCTCCTTGTAAGACATTATTGAAAATGCGTTGCTGGCACATGTGTACCCATGTAACAAACCTGCACGTTGTGCACATGTACCCTAGAACTTAAAGTATAGTAATAATAATAAAAGGCCTTGCCTCTATTCACTGATGTTTGTATTTGAAAAATTTGCTCCAATATTGGTAGTTCTCTTTCTTGTATTCATTAAGAATTTTTGATGTATACCTGCTTTTCATACACACATGTAAACTCGTATGTGTTTTATAATAACGAATTTAATAATCTTTGAAGATATTATTTTTACTGCATCCTCAATTCACTGCACTAATTCATGCAATTATAAACTGCAGAAAGGAGGAAATACCCCCATCTTGCGATAAACAAAGCAAAATCCTTGGCAGAACCATGCCCCCCGCCCGCGCCCCGACCAGCCCACCCGGGCAGCCACTCACCGGTGTCCGTCTTCCCAGCTCCCGGCCATGTGGCCAAGTGAATCCATCCTGCAGTCCGTCTCCACTTTCGCCAGCCCGTACCGTGAGCACCGCCTGCAGGAGCGCTGACCCCGCGCGAGGGGCACTCACTACTACCTCAACACGTGGCGTGCGGGACTTCATTCGGTCCACAGGGCTGGACCGCCTGGGGCCGAGGACACCCCGAAGCCCCCGCGACCCCGCCGTCTGCGTCCTGCTACCCAAACACTGCACGCAGCTGCCCTATGGCGCCCCCGTGAATGGCCTGGTGTGGGTCCCAGCTGCTGCGACCGGAGCTGGACCCGCCGCGGATGGCCCGCCGGTTTCGTTTCGTTTCGTTTTCCTTTTCTTTTCTTTTCTTCTTTTCTTTTCTGATGGAACCTTGCTCTGTCGCCCAGGCTGGAGTGCAGTGGCCGGATCTCCGCTCACTGCAAGCTCCGCCTCCCGGGTTCACGCCATTCTCCTGCCCCAGCCTCCCGAGTAGCTGGGACTACAGGCGCCCGCCACCGCGCCCGGCTAGTGTGTGTGTGTGTGTGTGTTTTTACGGTGTGTGTGTGTCTGTGTTTTTACGGGGTGTGTGTGTGTGTTTTACGGTTTCACCGCGTTAGCCAGGATGGTCTCGATCTCCCGACCCCGTGATCCGCCCGCCTCGGCCTCCCAAAGTGCTGGGATTACAGGCCTGAGCCACCGCGCCCGGCCTGCTAAACCGCTTTCTACTGGCGCTGCCGAGCCGCCTGGTCAAGGCCCAGCCCCCTGAAGCGGACAGCAGCGGCCAGGGCGGCGCACCCGGGTTCACCCATGGACCTCGCGGCCTCAAACACGAGGGCGCCCCGGGCCGGCGGCTTCATGCATGCGAAGTCCCGGGTCCCCCCCCCGCCGCCCCCGACACCCGCCCCTCAGCCCCTACTGGCCGCTGCCCTTCCGTGGCGCTGGCTTAGGACACCCAACCCGGCCTTCATGAGGCGCCCCCCCGCTCCCAGCTCCCCAACCCCCACCCCCGCCCGTCTTCGGTAGCTTCGGCGCCGCCGCCACAGCCCTGGGCCTAGGCCTGGCACCCCCGGTCGCCCGCGGTCTCCTGGTGGTGGCGCCGGCGTCCCCGCTGGAGCTGCTGGAGGCCAAGCCCAAGCGTGGCGGCCGCTCCTGGCCTGGGAAAGGCACCACCATGTATGCCTGTGCAGCTAGGGCAAGCCCCACAGCAAGAGATCTCACCCGAAGGCATATCCGCGCAGCACACAAGTGACAAGCCGGACCACTGCCACTGGGATGGATGCAGCGGGAAGCTGCTCACTCAGACAAGCTATGGCTCTGCCACCCCAAGCACAGGGGCCACTGGCCATCTCAGGGCCACTGGTGCCACCGCGCGTTCTCGCGCTCCGCCCACCTTGCCCTGTACAGGAAGTGGCACATGCAGCCCAGACGCCCCCGCCCACCTGCGCAAGGCCCCCTCCCAAACTGTGACCGGTATTTATTGCACCCAGAGAAGCGGGCAGGGCACAGTGTGGCTACAGAGGGTCTGAAGACGACGCCACGGCCCCAGCCCCCACCTGTGACTGAAGGCCAGGTGGGAAAAGACCACTATTCGCCTTGACGAGTTCTGTTTCTCAAAATGGTGCAGTAATTAAGTGGCATCTTCCCTCCCACCCCACCAGGTCATAAGGCTTGATGTCCTATGAGAAATAAGGGCCTTAATTGGTACTGTCTGCGACATTTTTTATAATATTGTACAAAACTGTGACAAATATTGCATTACTGTATATAGAGCGGCAGGTGGGCATTTTTTGGGCTACTTGCTTCATTTTTATAAGACTTTTGCTGGTTT